TTGTGTTGGAGTCGTCGACAACGATGGCCTCCGCGTGAACGTTGAGCGGACGCATCAGTGCCCCGAAGACAGTGCAGTGAAGGGCCAGAGCGGCCAAAATCATAAGTGTGTTCTTCCAATCCATTTTAGTTAACAAGTATTGAGTCAACGGCGCGAACATAAAGGCGCCGACACCTGACCCGCAAACGGCCAGACCTGTGGCCAACGCTCGCCGTGTCGTGAAGTAATATCCGACCGAAACAATTGCCGGCAAATATATTAACCCAAAACCAACGCCTCCTAAAGGGAGTGAATAAGTGTTTTAAAACTTTTGTTGGATATGTTTGTCAAATGATTTACCCATAACTCCATACGTAAGCATAAGAACTTCAATATTGGGTGCAATGGTTGACAAAAGCAGAGCAATGAATGCGATAACACTTCCCAGGATTGTAACGAAACGACAGCCGTATTTGTTGGCCAAAGCACTCACTATTGGACCTATGATTGCGAAATACATTCAAAACCATTATTACAGTAATTAAGTTATCAAACATAAAATGCATCGAATATAACGCTAATTACGATCAATAGTTTGCAAATAAAATTCAATTTAATTAGACGTTAATACTATGAATGGATATAAATTGCCGCAAAACATTAATCCATTGGATCTTACATTCATTAATCAAAGTGTTGTGCAATCAATTGGTTAATGGATTAGCGAAATGATGGCAAATAACTGAGTTAATGAGGTTTTAAATATCATAGTATTATGTAATCAATGGTAAAATAACTAAATCTTTTGTCATTCATTATATGAATTCTTTGATACATGAGATGTATTAATAAGAAAATAAAAACACTTAAAATAATGACAAATAAAAAAACAATACAAAAATTCGTTGAATTTTATCTATAATTTCTTTTTAGATAAAAATCTAAACACTTTTCTCAAATATCATAAATCAATTAATTGAGTGGTTTTGTAACAAAGCGTTTACTTAAGAGCAAAAGTGTTAACATTATTGTTAATAAAAATAATAATGGATTGAATAGTGAATACAGACCGACTCCAAGATAGCATCCGTTGAGCAATGATCCACAAAGAGCTACCTTTCCATTAGTTGTGCCAAAATGTCGGACAAACTCCTCGAAGAATAGGCCGAACGTATAGGCGATGCCGTCGACGATGACATTGCATAGGAATGAGGCCAACACTACAACCCAACCGTAGCCGCCGTCCGGCGCCGGATCTGTAATCAAGATATGCGGCT